TTTCAGCTATTGACTCAAGTACTTCCAGGATTCATGAATATTTACAGCTAAGCTTTCTCTCCACCCCAGATCCCAAACCCTGCCCAGGGCCTCCAACCTTTACCCATACCTATATATCCATTACTTTGAAAATAATATCTTTTTCTTATTTACTACAATTTAAATTGATAGCTTTGTACTTCAATAATTTTATCAGTTTAGGTCATACCAAAACTGTATAGTTTAATATTATTAAAGATATTTCCATTTTTTCTTGTCATTTCCCAAAATAAATTTAGCACCTTTAAAAACAAAGAAACAAATACACAAACATTCCTTCCTTAGACCAAAGCTACCAGTGTAAATGAGGCAGTAGGTCAATCAATTTTGTAATTGATTGAGCAACAGCAAGTGAAAATCATGGTTCTTAACAGTAAAAATATGTACCAGGGCTTCTACGTATAGGTCAGTGGTGACCAGAAAGAGGAAAAAAGTTTGAGCAAGGAATCTGAAAGCATTAGCAAAAGTTTTAAAAATAGTACTGCCTGGAGTGAAATTTTACCCTGAATTTTTTCATTAAAAGGTAATTCAGCTTTGGGGAAAATAATGTGCTAAAACCTATACCTTTGGCAACAGAAACTGAAACTATAAACCAGACAGTTTTCCTGACACAATGTGTGAACACACTGATGGACCAGAGTATTGGTCATTCTTTTAAAAATGAGGATAAGAGTATAAGAGGCTAAGGCCTAGGTCAGCTGTGCACATGGACTATAAAAATCATTAGATCTTGAACAATTTCCACAGACGAGTCTAGGCTAGTTCCTTGCTTGCTTTTGTTGCCCCTCTGTACATAGAAACTATATATTTTAAGTTTTAGTTAAGTGTTCATTTCAAACATTCCTGCCACCTCCCCTAGATCAGTCACTCTTATCATAGCCCACTCACTGAGAATGCTCACCACACTCTGACATTTAATGAGCATTCCACAAAAGTTCTCACTGAAACTTACCAAAAGAGCAGAGGAGAGAGATGGAGTCTATTGTGTTTTCACTCTGCCCACAACCTAAGACTTACCTTCACCTTTTTCAGGTCTTGATTATGAATACTAATATATTTTTCAAAATTGCCCGAATCACTGTCTTATTGCTCAACTTCTGTCCCCTAAATATTTAACACATACTGATGTATTAATTAGTATTTGTAAAACTTTCTCTAAAAAAAGGATTTGTGTCAGGAAAAATGAAACTTTTTGTCATTAGTACTAGAAAACATCTGCTACTTCATATCCTGCCCTAAATACTATGCAGTCTTTGGAAATTCCAGTTCACGAACAAATTTTTATAAGTGAGTCAAGTGTCTAATTTCCTCAGTGCTAAACACAATATTTATCCTTGTACTGGAATAAGCCTACAAACATATAAATGCATATGTGTGTACAAATGTGTTTATAGAAACTATTATTTAAACCTGTTTTAGAACATAAAAAGGGGCCAAGCACATCACAGAATAATAAGTGGTTATTATAGAGCTCACTAGGTGGATTTCTTCAAAAAAGTCCATTAACAACTAGAAAGACGAATATTTCAATACCAAGTTTTAGAAATTCAGAAGGGGAAAGATTCTTTTTTCTGGGGAGAAAGCCTGCCTGTGACAATACATTGAGGCAATCAGTGCTGAAAACATGGCTTTTGCTGCCATCAAGTGGCTCTTTTTGGAATCTTCTAATTGACATCAACCATGGTTCACGTGCTTCACTTTCTCAGCATTTCATTCTTTACACACAATCATGTGTTATCTGTTGGGGAATTAGGATATTTGAAAACACCAGGCAAGCCTTTCCTAAATTAGGACATTATACTATGGATGCTATTAAAATTCCATGACTAAGAAGTTCTACCGAAAGACAACCTCAAAAAGGGTTTAAAGTATCAGTTTAGACCTCAACCTGGACTTTGAAGCACATCTCTCTTTACTTCTACTAAATACGAAATTTCTAAATACATTGGCTTTAAGATACCTAGTGGAACGCAGAGGAAATCAAAAAATGGCGGAGGCGGGGGGAGAGATTCATTTAGAATCATCTTTAATCAACTGTCATCACTGTGGAAGAAAATGATTTCATGTTTCCATTATGTCTCACTTTCTGAGGCTTCAGTCCTATATGTAAACAATGCAGTATGCTGTTAAACTGTGATGACTACATAACCCTAATTTTAACTTATTTTATTGCTTTACCCCTTTTCCTTTGAATATCTTTCCTTCTCTCTCTCTCAAGAGATAGTTAATTAAACATCAGTTGAATCAAAAGATAAAAATACAATTGTCTTTTAAAAACAACCCAAAACCAAATTGCTGTGGCAGCGGCCCCTTCATATTCTGAGAAGGTGGCAACATTTATCTCAGAGTACTGGTTGTTTTGATTAGAAAATGCATTAATAAGATTTTGATTATGGAAGGAAAAGCCCTGGATAAATCAAAATGGACAGAAGTGGAGATGAAACAAAACTAAATTGCTCTACATAATGAACCAGAGGAATAGTAGAAGTTATTGGAGAGGAGGGCTCCATAGAGAAGTGGAAACCTGAAATTGGAAGTAAAAAATGGCCAGGGATATTTTGGTGGGATCTAAAATCAAAAAAAAAAAAAAAAAAAGTATATCAAAACCAAAAACCACACCTATAGTTATGAGTGAGTTCCCTGGAAGATTTTTTTTTTTTCACCCAAAGTCCAATAATATGTCAGACATGCTTTCTAGATGCTGCTTGTGCTAGTGGTTACATGTTTTCTAATCTACCCTTCTCTGTAGGACCATCTAATACAGGAGCTTCTGTTTCAATTTCTCACTTAATACGAGACCAAATCCTTATGTCTGATCCTGACATGAGTTAAAACTCAAGTCCCTAAGTCACTGTCTCAGAGTGTCGCTTCACAGACTCACAGCCCTGGTTTTCAGATTTTTCTTCATCTTTGGCCTCAGGTTTTTCCTCACCTTTGGATAAGCCCAGCTATGCATTTTAAAAGAATTGATCAGGCTGCAGTATATTTTCCTGCATTTCTACAGATTTTGTAGTCAGAGAGGCTTCCAGTTACCTAGCCTGCAACCTTGTAAAAGAAAGTTGCTCATAAAACCTCTCGATGTGAAACACTGCCCAGGATCAGAGCCTTCTCTGCTGCAGAAATCTCACCTACAAACCTTTACAGGAAGATGAATTTCATTCCATTTTGGCGACTTAAAGAATAAAAGAAGTTATGATAGCAGCATTTTGGTGGTGTGAGCTGTAGAGAGGTAGAAAGAGAATCAAAGCTGAGAGGAGACTTCCCTAAGAGTGGCAGGAACTATGGATTATCTGAGCCTGGGTCCCTTGTAGCCCAGTCAGATAACTTATCTCTTTCCCACTCCGTCTGACCGCCTCTCAGCTTGGCTCCCTACAGGTGGCTAAAGCCCTAAGTTAGTGCTTACTTCAGGGAATTCACCATAATGAAAAAACTAGAAGCAGGCAATTTGACTCTTATCAAGTCAAGGAGTTCTGGCTAAAACTCCTGAGGTTCTGTTCACATAAACCTAGAGATTTAGTTCTTTGTAAGAAAGGACTGAGAGACTTGGCCTAGCCTAAATTTACACCCAATCCTAACTTTTTTTTTTTTTTGGATGAAAAGTCAGCTTCTAAACAAAGGATATTTTTATATACTATTTAATATATTGTTTCCAGAAACAGCTTTGAAAAATGTAAATTCTACATGGGTCCCTTCACCTTCCGATTCCAGTGGTGAGAGTGCACAATACCTCTTTAGCCCTTTGGCTGTGTTCGGAAATTCCAAGAGCACCATTACCTACTCCATTAGTACAGGCACTGCTCTAAAGCTGAGGCTTATTCTGCCTAGCTGTGCGTTAGAGTCTGTAACTTCACCATTTAAAAATGGATGCATTTTAATGGCATCATGTTAAGCCCAATAATAATTACAAAGCATTTCAGTAACTTCCTAAAGCTCGAATATTTGATAAAAATCTCATTCTTGAATTTACCACTTGTTAGTATGGACTAAAGTATAAATCTTGTGAAATACCTGCTTTCCCTTTACTATTCACCTCCTTTAATGGTAGGAGAAAAAAAATTTTTTAATTGAGCTATCCCTCTCACTATTGAACAGTGGTGGCTAAGATCTATACATAACCTCAAAGTAATTGCACTACTGAACTGGCCTACCCTACAATCTTGCCTACACTACATTTAGAAGAAAAGACTATTACCTAATTTTCCAATCTATTACAAAGGATAAATCAAAACCCTCCTTACAAACTATTTCAATGTAGCACAAATATCTAAAGTGGTTTATTATTATGACTAATCTAATTTCTAACACTGTAGACTAAGCCATTCTCCTTATATCCTGCTCTTAAAACTTAACAAGAGCAAACCAACTGGAGAAAGTTTTTTAAAAAAATCTACAATCTACCTGGTAGCACTTCATGCCATAGTGATTTGATTAGTGATTTGATGAGTATAGATCACATCCTTGGATTTAATACACGGTGGCCCACTTTTAAAACAACCTATTTATAACAAAGGTCTCTCTGTTGGAACTCTCAAGAGAGTTAAAAAAAAAAAAATGCCACCAGTATCAAACACTTTTATTTAACCAGGCATTGTAGAGCAATAAAATTGCAAATCTGAAACCTTCATCTTAGCCCATCTTTACTAATTGTGTTAGTATATACGAGTCAGTAAGATTTCTGATTCTCATACTCTGCCACTATAATGAAATTAGTACTTGCCCTCAAACTACCTCCACAGAGAAGTCCTGAAAAGTAAGGAACACAATATAAGTATTGTAAAAAGCTTCTTGGAGAAAAAACTTGAAATGTCTTAAGTAAGAAAAATGCACAAATTATCCCTATTTAGGGTAGAATATTTATAACGGGGATGACTAGATTATCACAAACTAAAAAATTCTCTTTGATTTTTTTATGTGTTTCAAACATAACACTCACCACAATAGAAATTGGAAATATGACCTACCCCATGTTCCCATCCATTAGAAGAATGGTGTTGTAAATGTGAGAAAATATGAAGAGAAAGAGAATTGTGCTGAAGAACATTGTCATCCATGACCCATGATCCTCTCGAAACATTTTCAACCGGAGCAACTGACCTGCAATACAAATATTATTAGAAATCAGTGTCTATCATAATTGAAAATTCGTACATTTTTGCTTTGTTTTAGTGAATCTCTATTATCTCGCTATATTCTGAAGTCTTTACCATAGGACTACCTTGTGGGTGAAACCACTATATAGCGTCCTTTTACGCTTCTGTAAATAACTATTGTGGATGAACCCCTATATCATCATGAAGCAAATAACGCCAACATGAGAATCTAGTATACAGAGGTTGTTTCTTATGCTGGCATGAAAATAAAATGAATTAGAGCACTACTACCTGATATTTTCTACTTCAGAAATATGTTTTTGGTTTATTCATCTGAAACTACTTAAGGTAAATGGTAAAGACATTGCACAGATTCCATATAGTTTCTTTTGGCTTCCAAAGAACCATTCTCAGTATTGACCAGACGATAAAACCAAGGCAGACCTTATTTAAGTGAAGATCTAATTTGTTGAAGGTACCTGAAAACTTAAAAGGAAAAAATAAAGTCTCTGTCGTAAGTGACAAATGACTTAGCCTTACTCTTAGCTGAAATATCTATATCTCCATACAAGCACGTGCGCAAGTTTGTGGGTTGGGAGAGGGGAGATGTACGTGTGTTGCAGAGCTTGGTGTGGCTTCCAGCAAAACATAATTTCTAATCTGGGGCCTAAAATTCCATTTACAAAGGTAAATGCTAAAAATAGAAAGAATGTTAAAATGCAAATATTTCAAAGAGGAAAATGCATTAAGATGAACACTAAAGTGAAATTACTGATATCAGAATTAGTTCAGAGAAAAATTTGAGATTAAAGGTAGAGAAGAGAAATGAGGGCATTCATATTCTGAAAGGTGAGGAAGATGAAAATATCATGGGAGTAAGAAAAAAATGAACACAGGTCACCTTGGCTTCTCCTAAGATAAACTATTATACTTATCTCTATTCCTGAGAAAGAGTATCAAATAATAATAAAGGAGATGATATACATATAGGAACTACAATTAAAATACGGTAGGGTTGAAGTCTTATAATAGAATTTCTCACTAGAGAAAATATTCTCATTTTATTCATGACAAGTTAAAGTTGAAAAAACTTCTATTTCCATCTGGAAATTATCTCTCTAGGGATAGACAGTAGCTCTCTTGTAGGTTACTGAGCATAGGAAGAAATAATCTTTTAAGAGTTAACTACTAGACTTTCCCTTGTTTCTCACTTTTATTAAAATAGCATTTTAGATTTCATTTGGAAACCAGGCTAACAGAAACATTACTCTAGCTAAAACTTTAAATAGAGCAAAAAACTAAAAGGGAGATTTGGTTACATCATCTGGTTTCTTGGGTTGCACAAGAAAAGCAAAGGACAAATCTGAATGTCAGGGGGAATGTGAGTAACTAAAAGAAGAATGTGGAAAACTTTATACTGAAGCGAACAATACTAGCACTGCAAATTACGACCTTATTTGATTAACTGAATCAATAATTACCGAAAGCAAGGGAATTGCAAGTCTCCACACAACACATTGACCGGAATATTATAGACATTAAGCACAAAATGCTTGAGAGTAAAAAAGCACATGCCATAAATATGATAAAGCAAACTGTAAAGAATATTATTTATTCATTGAACAAATATTTGATGTGTGCTTATTACATGCCAGCCATAGTTCTAGGTGCTAGAGATACAGCTATCAGTAAGGCAGAAAGGTATCTGAAGTCAATCATCATTTGAGTATTTGTTGAAAGTGTGACCTTATTTTAGACTGGCGGGCTCTCTTTGTTCAAAGTCCCCTTTGCTGCTGGTCCTAGCAGCTTCACACCAAAACCTATTTGAAGAACTGTGAAGACCAGCAATTAGAGCTCCTTGAAAATTTAAATGTGAATTTCTGTCTTAACATATGTATATGTCAAAAAATTCACTAATGGATGTACTTTAAAAGTCAAATAATAATGCTGGCGATTTGAGAGAGCTTTGCAAATAAAATGTAGTGACTTAACTGCACACTGGCTGAAATAATACAGTTAATAAAAAGAGAAATGTGACAGTACCATTTATGCTGTCATTGCCAAGCCATTGTCTGGCACTAATTTCAGTCATTAAAGTCATTAGCACAAAATGGCAGGTTAACACGGCTTGAAATTCACTTGAAACACAATAAAAGTGCTGCAGTATTTCAAGCCAGAACTGGTGTGACCCAAATGTTGAGTCGAATCACATCAAACCAAGAATGTCAAAATTACCTGAGAACGTCACATGAAAATGTGCTGTCTCTGCCCTGTAGTGTGTCCATACATTTGGTTTGCTTAGGACAACAGTGGTTTATAATTGTTGTCTTGAGATAATTATTCATGGTGTCCTTTCCCTTCTTATGCATACTGGTTGGGACAATAAATTATATTCCACCTTTCCTATAAGTCACAGAATTCAGAATTTTATAACAGTTTCCTTTAGAGGAGTTTTAGGAGATAACTGAGTGAAAATAGTCCTTACAGGTCAACAGAAGTAAAAGATAACACTGAGAGGGGTAAATTTCTGACAAGATCATAAATGACTTTTATTTCAATCAGAGATATATTTGTAAATCTGAGCATATATTTATGTTATTAATAAAAATCTGTCTTGGATCGTATGCCCTCAAGTCTTCCAAAAGAAAAATTCTACAAGTAAAATATGAGATAATACATCTTGTTGGCAATGATGCAGTCATCACCCAGACCACTCAAACTCAGAAGACTTAAGGCCCAAGACTGTATAATTTGTTGTCTACTTCTGTGCAAACCTGTCTATAAATTGTAATGCAGTGAGGACCATATTTGTCTTCTTCGACACTGGCATCTCCAGGGCACTGGTACGTAGCATGTCTTAAATAAATAATTGTCGGATGGATAAGAAATGAAGGGACACACAAATGAACAAATACGCAATATTCACTGTGACTAAAAATCCTCTACGTTTGTAGATCTGGCTACTACAACACCTGCCCTCTGAGCCCTGTGGAGCCCATCAGTTCTTTAAAAGCCTTACCTCCTCCCCATTTTTTCCCTATTAGCCAGCTCTTGAGCGCTATTCCCTTCCATTCAGCATGAAACTTCTGTTTCCTTATCAGCTTTTCTTTACCCCAACACCCTTGTTTCCTTTGCACTCCGTATGTGTCTTATACTTGCCCGGCAAAACTCCAACTCTAACACAGAGCTACAACTGGCTTTCTCTGACTTCAGTAAACTGCTGTGGGAAAAAGTTACTCAAATGGGTTGATAAGCCACTGCATAATCAGGATCCCCAACTTTAGCTGCTACCACAGCCCTGCACATTAATGCTTTTCCTTGTCCTTGTCAATTCTCCTTCCCATTCTCCTCAGCAAATTTCAAATTTCACCTCAAAGCTCCCACTAAGACTCTTTCACTCTCAGAGTATGACTTTGGTTCCAATCTCAAAGAAATATTGCTGCCACCAAACATCATTTCCTTCAAATACCTGCCCACTTTTTGAGCATCATTTCATCCATTTATTTATCTAGCTTTACTGCTATTCCTACTTCCTTCCTTTGTTTCTCAGAGGATGCAGTACTTCTACAAAAGATCCCACCTGTGCCTTTTGAAAACCATATCCTCCCCTCTTTTTGTGCCCTGCTCCATCAGTCGTCTCTTCTCACCTTTTTATTTCCAGTCTTTCTCTCTCTACTGGTTCATTTCCCTCTGCTTCTAAAGCCTCTTAAGTCCATCCTAAAAACAATGCTCTTTTGACCCCATGTCCTTGAACTACCATCTATTCTCCTTCCCCTCTCTCATCCAGACTTCAAGAAAGAGCAATCTTCATTACCTGCATCCACTGAGATCTTACTTGCAATGCAAATTCTACTAAAATTGTTCTGGCAAATGTTAAAAACCCACCATTACCAAATCCAGTAAACATATACAGGGCCTTTAACTTGTAGGCATCTAGGTTACATAGCGGTTGTTCACTCTTTCTTTTTGATACTACTTCCTTGGCTTCTCTAATATCAAATACTCTTTGCTCTTTTTTCTAATTTCCTAATTATTCTCAGTCACCTTTTTGATCATCGTTTCTTCCATTTGTCCCATAAATGATGATCTGTCTTCAGTCTTAGTCTTTATCATTTCACTACATGGTCTAATTCACTTCCGTGGGTTTAACATCCAGTACCTCCAGCAGATTTTTCCTTCCGAGCTTCAGACTGAGTCACCTGCCCACTCTTTTCCTGAACGTACTACTGCCAATTCAAACTCAATTTACAAAAGGAAATTCAAATTACCCATTCCTTGCTCCAGTATTTAATATACCCATATCTCAAATCTGACCATTCCCATCTCTAAATCCAATCCTACTTCTGACTTTACCATCTTTTTATTTTCAAAATAACTCAGGGTAAGAGTCATTCTTGATTTTTTCCTTCCTGCATACCTTCCATTTCAACCAACAGTCCTATTATTTTACAACCTTACATCCAAACTCTTCTCTCATAATTTGGGTTCCCATTGTCTCTTAATGGAATTATTACAACAATCTAACTGGTCTTCCTTACTCTAGCCTTTTCTATCTCAAATCCACCTTCCATATAGCCAATAAATCTAACCAAAATACAAGTATGGTCACATCTCCCCTTCACTTAAAACCTGTCAATGATCAGCTTTCCTCTATAGTATAAAATTCAAGTTCCTTAATGTGATATAGAAGGCACTACTTGATTTGACCGAAGCTTATCTCTCCCGTCTCACCATTCCCTACCTTTCACTCTAGTTCCATCAGTACTGAACAGAATGCAGTTTCTTGTGTTAGTGCTGAACCCTCTGCCTGGGATACTCTTCCTTCCCCATCATGCCACTAACTCCTGTATGTCCCGTGGGCCTTAAAATACAAGTCAGAGATGATATCCTCTAGGAAGTCATCGTCATTGTGAAATATTTCATATATGGGACTAATCATCAGAAAGAGCTTATAGGATGGACTAAGGAGGTAGTAAGTTCCCTTCAGTGCAAACAAGGAGGAAT